GTTTTGAAAATATAGTGGCGTCACTTAAATTAAATTCGATATGACGTCAGCGCGGGGGAGTCGTGACATCGGTTCACGGTGACCTTGGCGTCTTTGTTCGTTTTGCTCACTAGACGGGATTCGAAGCCGTGTCCTTCACGTGTCAAGGGTGACCCACCCTTCCTGTCCTGTCCCCTCGGCAATGCCGCCTCCACAGGGACAACCAACCCCTCTATCCCTAATGAACATCTGTTGCATCACCCAATTCCCTGACCCCCACCCCTGCCCCCAGATTGTGCCCGATGTAGTACAGGGACTACCTCTACTTACAAACATTCGACTTGGGAACTTTCAGAGATACGTACAAACCTGTCCGTATGTCCCGTTACCGCAGTTCAACGATGCGATTGCCCATCACAAGTTGATTTGTGCAGAGATGAAGAGAACAACTGTGCAGACATCTCTTAGTAGGTATTTCAAGAGAATAGAGAGGAAACACGTGCCAAAGGGAATTAGCATCTACATCTGCAGAACGTGAAGAATCAGTGGCATCTACATCTACAAAACGTGAAGAACCAGTGGCATCTACATCTGCAGAACGTGAAGAACCAGTGGCATCTACATCTGCAGAACGTGAAGAACCAGTGGCATCTACATCTGCAGAACGTGAAGAACCAGTGGCTTCTACATCTGCAGAACGTGAAGAACCAGTGGCATCTACATCTGCAGAACGTGAAGAACCAGTGGCTTCTACATCTGCAGAACGTGAAGAACCAGTGGCATCTACATCTGCAGAACGTGAAGAACCAGTGGCATCTACATCTGCAGAACGTGAAGAACCAGTGGCTTCTACATCTGCAGAACGTGAAGAACCAGTGGCATCTACATCTGCAGAACGTGAAGAACCAGTGGCATCTACATCTGCAGAACGTGAAGAACCAGTGGCATTTACATCTGCAGAACGTGAAGAACCAGTTGCATCTACATCTGTAGAACGTGAAGAACCAGTGGCATTTACATCTACAGAATGTGAAGAACCAGTGGCATCTACAGCTCTCTCCCTCCCTGCCCTTTTGTCTCTCCCCCTTTCTGCCCCCCCGTCTCTCTCCCTCCCTGCCCCCCTCTCCCTCCCTGCCCCCCTCTCTCTCCCCCTCTCTGCCCCCCTCTCTGCCCCCCCGTCTCTCCCCCTCTCTGTCCCCCCGTCTCTCTCCCTCCCTGCCCCCCTCTCCCTCTCTGCCCCCCCATCTCTCCCCCCTCTGCCCCCCATCTCTCCCCCCTGCCCCCCGTCTCTCTCCCTCCCTGCCTCCCCGTCTCTCTCCCTCCTTCCCAACTGAATCCCCCTAACCTCTCGCTTATAAATCGACGAAGGCTCGGCGCCCTCTGATGTCTCTCTCTCTCTTCCTGTCTTCCCCTCGCCTCCCCTTCTCTTTGCCGATCTCTCGCGACGTTCCTCTGCCCCTCCCCTCATCTCGCCCCGTCTCTCTCGCTCCGTCCGAACCGGACCCCCCTAGCCTCTGCCTCAAGAACCGTTGAATGAAATTCCTCTGATGGCTGTCTCTCTCTCTCTCTTGCCGCGCTCCCCACGCCGCCTCGTCTCTGCGTCTCTCGCTCGCCGCGTCTCTGGCCCTCGACTGTTGCTGCGCCGTCTCTCTCTCCCCCTCTTCCCCTCCCGCTCCCCGACTCCGCCCCGGTTCCGTGCCCCTCAGGCCGAGCTCCTGCCCCTCGCTGACCTTCATCTGCCCCCCCCCCCCTTCGCTCCCCTCCCTCACGAGACCTCCCACGCACAATTCCTTGGTCCCATCCCTCTCTCGCCTCGCTCCCGCACTTCTTCATGGAAGCTCTTCGTGGACGCGTCTCCTCCGGGCGCCGTTCGGCCTCCTGCACGCACCTCCTGCACGCACCTCCTGCACGCACCTCCTGCACGCACCTCCTGCACGCACCTCCTGCACGCACCTCCCTGCACCGCCACTGCCAAAGACAAAGATCCCCCGTATAGCCTCTAACAGACTGTCGGGGGCAAGTGCTGTTAGCGAGTAGCAGCACTTATCAAGGCCGGCACTGTGGCACACGGGGGGGGGGGTCACCACGATGCTTGTGCACACACCACACACACACAGTCACACACAGTCACACACACACACAGTCACACACAGTCACACACCCCACAGTCACACACCACACACAGTCACCAAACACAGTCACACACCCACACCCCACCACAACACACACCACCAAACCCACCTTGGATGAATTGTGCACGTGTACTGCAGCTGCTGCTACTGCAGCTGCTGCTGCTGCTGCTACTGCTGCTGGAGAGACGTCGCTGCGCCTTCGAAAGAGGCTGCTGCAACTTGCTGAATCCGCTCCCTGTGTTAGCTCTGCACTACTGCAAGTTCAAGTTCATGTATTAGGTGTAGCCCTGTGAGTCTGGTGCAAACCGCAACAAACAAAAACAAAAGCATGAACAAAAAACATCTTAAAGTGACTATGTGACTAAGTGCAAACAGAAAATGTGGCGAATGGGGGTTGTTGTTGTTGTTGTGTGTGTCGGTGTGTGTGTCTGTGTGTGTGACTGTGTGTGTGTCTGGTGGTGTGTGACTGTGTGTGTGTGTGTGAGTGTGTGTGACTGTGTGTGTGGGTGTGTGACTGTGTGTGTGTGACTGTGTGTGTGTGACTGTGTGTGTGGTGTGTGCACAAGCGTCCTGGTGACGTCACCACCACTTCAAGTTCAAGTATTAGGTGTAGCCCTGTGAGCCATTCGGCTCTTGAATCGGGTACAACCGCAACAACAAAACATGAACAAAAAACATCTTAAAGTGAATATGTGACTGAGTGCAAACAGAAAAATCTAAGAAAAGACAGCAAAATATTGCAGACAAAAATCACAGTTACACCAACTCTGTGTGCAAAAATCCCAACAGACAACAAATCGATTAACGAATTAAATCGGCTAACCCTCTATAGATTATTGGTTCTTTCTGTTATAAAGTCACGTAAATAGAAAAAAATTATAATAAAATATTGAAAAAAATGGCGTGTTTTGCTTTTATTATTTTCCATTTTTTTTTCTTATTTTTATTTTCCATCAACGCGATTTTACCAAAAGAACCAAGAATATGAATTCCTGCAGCCACGAAAGTTTTAAGTCTAAATTGATCCGCTAAGCCGTCAAGGCAAGTGATCTGTTAATCAATTGCTGTTATAACCGTACCGGCTTCAAGTAGCAGCAGCAGCAGCACAGAGACACGTGGCACCACTGCAGCTCCCACGTGACAGCGTCTGGCCACGCCCAGCGCGGGTCACGTGTCAGGAGGGGGCGGGGCTTACGCACCACGTGGGCAGAGCCCCCAGGTGTCATTGGCTGTCTGCGTGGTGTCGTCTATGGGTCTCTGTGCGTGAGTCAAGTTCAAGTTCATGTACTAGGTAGAGCCCTGTGAGCCATTCGGTTCTTGAATCGGGTGCAAACTGAAAAAACAAAAAAACATGAACAAAAAAACATCTTAAAGTGACTACGTGCAAAATGAAAAAACAAACAAAAACTAAAACATGAACAAAAACATCTTAAAGTGACTACGTGCAAAATGAAAAAACAAACAAAAAACAAAAACATGAACAAAAAACATCTTAAAGTGACTATGTGACTGAGTGCAAACAGAAAATCCAAGAAAACACAGCAAAATATTGCAGACAAAAGTCACCGTGTACACCAACGCTGTGTGCAAACATCCCAGTGGGATGCAAGTCAAACACAACAACCACAAGACAGCTTAGAGAGTCGATGGGTCTCTATCAGTAATTCTACATTTGAAGCTTTCGTGACTGCCAGGAGTAGGTTTATCGGTAAAGTCACGTAGGTAAAATACAAAATATAAATAATATAAATAAAATAATAAATCACGACGTTTCGGAGGCAACACAAACTTCCTTCATCAGGTGTAAAAGGCACAGAAAAAAAAAAACTGTACGTCGTGATTTATTATTTTATTTCTATTATTATTGACATTATTTTTTACTATTTATCTCTCCTGTAGTCTATGGGTCTCTGTGACCCCCCCCGTGAGGATCGTGAATCGAGGTCAGAATCGACCGACGGCTTGCAATCGAAGTCGATTCTAACGTAATCGCATGGAGGAATCGATCCACGGATCGATCCGACGACATCACCGTTAACCAAATCGCAATGGAGGTAGAAGCCAACAGCTTCCATCGAGTCGCGAAGTTGCCACCTCCTCTACCTCCTCCTCTACCTCCTCTACCCCCTCTACCTCCTCTACCTCCTCAATTGCCTCGCGACATCAACGACCCTCCCACAGCAACAGCGGCAGCGGAATCAGCAACAACGAAGTCAACACCCGCCACTGAGGCCTACACCGCCATGCAGCCTGCGGTCTCTGCCCAAGCCGCGTCGCATTCTGCGGGGGAGATTCAGGCGAGGGGCGGTGGCTGCGAGGAGGAGGAGGAGGAGGATGAAGCGATGCAGTGCTGACCATCGTAACCGGCGATCTCATCTCCGGCTACGTGGCTCACCTGACGCAGCAGACGAAGCAGCAGCAGCAGCCTGTGCAGCAGCAGCAGCCTCTTCTGCAGCAGCAGCTGCAGCAGCAGCTTCAGCAGTTGCAGGAGCAGCTCCCGGCGGTGCAGCAACATCTCCTGCTGTCGCAGCAGCAGCAGCAGCAGTGGATGGAGAAGCTCTGGCAGCAGCAATTCCAGCACATGCAGCAGGTGCAGGAGCAGCTCCAGCAGGTGCAGCGGCAACAGGAGCTTGTGCAGCAGCTGCAGCAGCAGGAGCAGCTCCTGGATGTGCAGCAGCAGCAGCAGCTGCTGCAGGAGCTGCAGAAGAAGTATCAGCTCCAGGAGGTGCAGCTGATGCGTCGGTTCAAGCAGCTGCACGAAATGCAGCAGGAGCATTTCCAGCAGTTGCAGCAGTTCAAGGAGTGGCAGGAGCTGCAGCGGCAGGCGCGGAAAATCCAGCGGCAGCTCCGGGAGGTTGCGCTCGCTGCTCCAGACCTCCCGGCGGCTGGTGCGGATGCGTGTGGAGCTTCTGCAGGAGGCGCTGGACACCCGAGGAGACGCGTTGCTGGCGGAGTTCGAAGCCTCCATCCCAGACTTTGTGAGGCGCGCGGAGGAGCTGGCGAAGCAAGTGGACCCGCGCCGGCTGGTCATGACCCTGGCTTGGCAGGTTCTCACCGCGGGGCCCATGAGCTGGGGCTGCGTGCTGTCCATGGTGGTGTTTTGCGCGCTGCTCGTCAAGAACCTGAGGGCCTCCGGTCGTCTGGGCGACTCGGAGGAGACTTGGCCCTTGACGGACGCGGTGGCCGCTGTGCTGTTGACCACACGCAAGACCTGGCTCATGGAACAGGGAGGCTGGGTGAGGGGTTACACACCGCTACCATCAACACCACTGCGCCGGAACAGCGTGTTGGTAATTACAAGCCCATGAGCTGTACAAAATCGAGCAACCTCCTACCGTTGTTATTGAGTTGATCTGACCCATGTCCTCCAATCACTCCAGACCAGGTGCCAGCATCATGACCAACTCGGGCATTGAAGTCACCCAACAAGATTCACTCTATCCCGAGGGGCCATTTTAGCCAGCATCTGTGACATGAGGTCATAGAAGGTATCTGACTCATCGGCCTTGTCTGCATCCCTCCACGGATGTTCGTCTTCGGTGGGGGCATAAGTAACCACGACCACCACTCCTCGCCTCTGGTTGATGGAAAGGTGAGCCCAAAGTTGTCTGGGGCTTACAAATTCCACACCTCACCGCCACGCTCCCATGCCCCCTTCATTCTTTTATTCAGAAGAAGAGCCACTCCCTGTTGTTTGGCAGTCTCCTGCCCCCAGTAGAGGACTGTCCACCCCTCATGATGTCAGGAGCCAGAGCCGGTCCACCCGGACCTCCTGAATGCCACAGCGATCCAGGCAGTACCTGTCCAGCTCCCGACAGAGGAGTGGCAGCCTCTCCTCAGCAGTGAGCGTTCGAACATTCCACGCGTTCAACCAAAGTGTCTCACTACCCAGTGTCTCACCACCCAGTGTCTCACAAGCATTGTCTCACTACCCAGTGTCTCACTACCCAGTGTCTCACTACCCAGTATCTCACTACCAGTGTCTCACTGCCCAGTGTCTCTGTACCAGTGTCTCACTACCCAGTGTCTCACTACCCAGTATCTCACTACCATTGTCTCACTGCCCAGTGTCTCTGTACCAGTGTCTCACTACCCAGTGTCTCACTACCCAGTGTCTCACTACCAGTGTCTCACTACTCAGTATCTCACTACCTAGTGTCTCACTAGCGGTGGTCTCACTACCCCGTGTCTCTGTACCAGTGTCTCGCTACCCAGTGTCTCTGTACCAGTGTTTCACTACCCAGTGTCTCACTACCCAGTGTCTCACTACCCAGTGTCTCACTACCCAGTGTCTCTGTACCAGTGACTCACCACCAGTATCAGATCATAGAACAACGCCAAAAGGTGATGATGATGACGATGATGGTGGTGGTGGGCTCTCTTTCCGTTCTGTTTCTGTGCTGCCACACAGGAGGGCTTCCTGCGAGCGTTCGGGCCGGGGACGCCCACCTAGGAGAGGAGCCGTAGACGCCGAGCTCCGACGGGCAGCGACAGTGAAGACGAGAAGAGAGACAGAGACTTTGGACTTGTACACAACTTTATTGCCGCCAGCAGCAACAGCACTGGAGGCGATTCCGATATGAAATACACAAAGTCACCAGCAACAAACGAATGAACGCTGTAAATCCACACGCTGTGGCGCTAAATGCAGCGCAACACGAAATAAAAGTCACGTGGTGGTGGTTGTGGTGGTGGTGGTGGTTGTGGTCATCTCGCACGCCACGGTGACGAGCGAGCGCCTCAGAAGAGAGACAACGGCCATCACCAAGCAATGTCAATTTTTTTACTTTTCTCTTTACAAAAATGAGGCTTCCATTAACGTGTGGTCCGACCTCTGTCAGGCGTTGAACAGTAAAATAGTACAAGTCTTTAGAAAGTGCATCATAATATCTGCATCGTTAATATTTTTAAACTTGAGGGAATTAATTTTTTGGCAGTGGCAATGAGAGATGCAAACATTAAATGGCTCGGGGTTTGAATCGATGAAAATTCAGAGGCGTTAAAAGGTGCTAACTACCACCTAAATGTTCAAGAATTGTCGTGGGATACGTTTTGATTGTGTGCGTTTACACAATTTGACTTGAAGTCTTGAAAACTGGGTTACACAGAAACAAAACTTACAGCCAAGAAATTGTGGTGACGTGTTGTTTTAAATTGCCTGAATTTCTGTAAAAACACTTGTTTAAGTGACAATGTCAGACTTGTCTTTGATCGTTCATAATGAATTTTGTGTGTTCAGCGTTACCGGACGTAAGTCGTGATTTTTAAACGTAATCTTAACTTTAATGGAACATAAATCTTAAGTAGTAGAGCTGTGTCAAAAGTATATAGCTGGATACTCGCAGTCTCCTCAAAAAAAGTAATTTTCCATGTTCCGAGAAAAGGATTCTTTTGAAAGTGTTCGTTTTTTTCGGTAAAGTCACGTAGGTAAAAATAAAATTGAAGATAAAAAAATATATATTTAAAGATAATTATTTTATTTATTTTATCTATTAGTATTTCTACATCACGTAGGGGAAAATAAGAATAAAAATAATAAAAGCAATAGAAATAAAGAAAATGTTATATATAATTTTTTATTTTTTGTTTGTATTATTATTTATATAAATTGTATTTACTTATTTTTTACCCACGTGACTTTACCAGAAAACACCTAAGAGTATGAATCCTTGCAGTCATGAAAGCGTTCAAATCTAGAATGGATTATTTTTAAATCTGTTCTCTTAGTGTACTAAGCAACCAAAAACGATATCCTCAGGAACAGAGGATGAAGCTTTAGTTATGGAATGGCCCGTCGGGTCCTAAAGATTGTTGACCTGTGAGAACATCACTGACGCCTTTTATCTTATAATCCTGTGGGAAGTCGACAACATGCACAACTGCAGCAACACTCACGACAAACTCGTTTAGTTCCTGTCGGCATTGGTCATGACGTATTCATATCGTGTACAAAGTCCTCTTCAAAGATCTCTGGCCAACGTGAAAAAGTCAAAATTACCCCTCCCCCCGCCTCTCGTGGTGCCCCATCTGCCGCGTGGCACGAGCAGGAATTGCAGGGCTGCGCCTCTACCTTTGACACAATGTCTGCCATAATGGGGGGATCAATAATAACACGGTTAGTGTTGACTGAGATTACATTATTGATGTGAAACTATCTGCAATAAAATTACTTGCTGCGTCTCTTAAAACATTTGTGGCCTTTTTTTCTCTCGCCGTGCTTCAAGAACAATTTCCTGGAGGCTTGTTTGCATTTGTTTAAATCCATGTTTTTAGACTACGTAGTGAATCCAACTGAGTCGGAATGACGTCTTGGGAGGCAACGCTATTTCAACCAACTCAACACACACGAGCTAACCTTGGGTGTTGATTTGTGCGCCTTGTGGCGTCATCTGGTCCAACACCATGGAGACTGGGCCTCTAAGGAAAGCTGTCTCGGGTGTGGACCAATCAACTTCAAGGACAGTGCATATCATCATCATCAGAGTTTCTTTTGTTTGCATTTTGACTGCTTGTGTTGTGGTTATTGCAAACATGACCCCTTGTATAAAGGTGTCAGTTTTGTACCAGTTGAAAGGGTAAAAATCTACTACTATGTTGAGGGCCCATCTATCCCACGCTACGGCACACTAGACACGGCTCGCTATCCCGGCCCGGACCACGAGCTGCTGTCTCCCGGAGCGCGTGGCTAGAGGCTTCTTCTCCCCGAATCTTCTTCACACGGCCACACGAAGAACCCACGACCCCCTCACGGGCCCCCCCCCCCCCCGTTATATCGGCCTGGGCTGGGCTGGCTCCGGCCCTCGCCCCGCCCACCTTCTAGATCTCTCCGACTCTTTCACGAAGGCTCCCGAGAGCTCTTCTATACCACGTGACCGTCCGATCCGCCCCCGTCCACCGGTGCTCCCCTCCAACATCATCCGGTGACGAGTCGGCAGTGTCAACCGGCGTATCGTGCCCCAACGCAACCCTGGCTGGCTGACGCTCCCTCTCGCTCCCTCACCGCACACTGCACGTGGTGCCTCCGCGCTGACCAGCGCTCACCCAAGTCCACCGCTAAGCGCTGCTGGTACTACGCCCAGTGAGCGGGCTGCACGTAATGCCAACACATTATCCGCCGTAGCTTCGTAAGCCCGGCAGCACACGGTGACATCACAGTCACTACATCACCCCCCTCTCTGTAGCTTCCAGCCGTCCCCGGCTGCCAACTCCCCCGCAAGTAAGCAACCGACGTACAATTATACAGAACAACAAGCAGGTGCGCTCCTACAATAACAAGACAGCACGATAAATTACCCAAACCCAACTGTACAATATGTACACCGAGAGAGAGAAAAAAAACACAGCAGCGAGAGAAATTAACAACACAACAATCGCGTCCTACAAGATCCCCACAATAGACATCTCCCACCCACAACGTGTAAACAACGCCCGTCAGCTCGATGGCGGAAAGGATCAGCCAAACGCTCGCCACGACTCACGCGAGCGCGACAAGCCACGGCGGTGTGGGAGCGTGCAACGCGCGGGGATCGTGAGAGTCGAATCTTCGAACGAGTCCGTGACGCCGGCCCTCCAGGTGGGTCGGGCTCATCTGCCCTGGAAGCAGAGGTCGCAAACGGGTTTTGATTCCTTACCCGTACCAGTACCCCCGGGTGCGGGTTCCCGTACGCCACCCGTACCCTACCCGAAATGAGTGACAAACGGTTACTCACCGGTGACTCACGGCCTACCCGTACCCTACCCGAAATGAGTGACAAACGGTTACTCACCAGTGACTCACGGCCTACCCGTACCTGGCCGCACCAGGGTCGCAAACGGGTACCCGTACCAGTACCCGGCCGGGTACGGGTAGCCGGCTATCGGGTAGGGTACGGGTATCGGATACCTGATTGTGACCTCTGGGATGAAGCCATGTTGCAGGCGCGAGTGGGTTGATTCTATGAACTTGAATTGTGAGAAGAGACAAGACGTTGGGAAATGAGTGACAAACGGTGACTCACCAGTGACTCACGGCCTACCAGTACCCGGCCGCACCAGGGTCGCAAACGGCTACCCGTACCCGGCTGGGTACGTGTAGCCGGCTATTGGGTAGGGTACGGGTATCGGGTACCCGGTTGCGACCTCTGCCTGGAAGCTGACTCCCCACGAAGAGCAGTCGACCGGGTCGTCGTGTCCTTCACGTTCAGGCACGCAGGCCGACACGGCGACGCACGGCCCGGCTCGCCAGCACAGCCCACACTCGGCCCTGCGATACGGAGAGGAGACAAACTCACACGGCGAGAGGGTGTACAAACCAGCTCCGCTTACCAAACTGAATCCACCGGTTGCGGCAGCAATGTGGGAGGTGCCCACCGGCACCTGCGGACATGCACCAGGTCCTGTCCCCCCCGGCGACTAGTCGCACAGGGAAACACGGGCAACTGGTTTCAGGTAATTTTTACGAAACATTTGAAAATTCCCGCCAATTCGGTGGGGGTCAGGAAGCCTTCGGGTGACTCCGCGCGTGAAAGTATAATAAGTAAATGTTGTGAAAATAAAGAAAGTAACCCTCGTTAATCGTGCCACGTCGTTTATCCCGATAAAGTTGAGGTAAATGTCCCTCACGACAACCTAACGCGCCTGATTTTAACAAAAAAATCTGTAAAAGTATGTCAGCTTATACTTTACTAGCTCGGTTTGCCAATCCTAGAACGGAAGCTGTAATATTACGAAAAATTGAGCCGATAAGATTTAATTGCAGTGAATCTTGAAAAAGTGAGTGAGTGAGTGGGTGAGAGTGGGTGGTGAGTGGGTGGGTGGGTGAGTGGGTGGGTGATGGGTGAGTGGGTGTGGGTGAGTGAGTGAATGAGTGGGTGAGTGAGTGGGTGGTGAGTAGGTGGGTGAGTGGGTGGGTGGGTGAGTGGGTGGGTGAGTGGGTGGGTGAGTAGGTGGGTGAGTGGTGGGAGTAAGTGGGTGGGTGGGTGAGTGAGTGGGTGGGTGAGTGGGTGAGTGGGTGAGTGAGTGAATGAGTGGGTGAGTGAGTGGGTGGTGATAGGTGGGTGAGTGGGGGTGGGTGGGTGAGTGAGTGGGGTGAGTGGGGTGGGTGGGTGAGGTGAGTGGTGGTGGGGTTAGTGGTGGGTTTGTTGAGTGATGGGTGGTGAGTGGGTGGGTGGGTGAGTGGGTGGGTGGGTGAGTGGGTGGTGGGGTAGGTGTAGTGAGTGAGTGGGTGGGTGAGTGGGTGGATGGGTGGGTGAGTGAGTGGGTGGTGAGATGGATGGGTGAGTGGGTGGGTGGGTGAGTGAGTAGGTGAGGGAGTGAGTGGGGGAGAGGGTGATGAGTGGGTGGTGAGTGAGTGGGTGGTGAGTGGGTGGGTGGTGATGGGTGGTGAGTGGGTGGGTGGTGGGTAGGTGGAGTGGGTGGGTGGTGAGTGAGTGGGTGGGTGAGTGGGTGGGTGAGTAGGGTGGGTGAGTGGGTGGGTGGGTGAGTGGGTGGTGAGTGGGTGGGTGAGTGGTGGGTGAGTAGGTGGGTGAGTGGGTGGGTGAGTAGGTTGGGTGAGTGGTTGGG